AGTTCATGGTGGGCATTGTCATGGCTCACCAGTAATGGGCACAGGCACCAATATAAAGGAACCCAGCTCCAAAGCAGAACAACTCAGCTGTTTCTCACAGCATCCCCCTGCGGAATGATCTTTTTCTGGTTCTTTCCCATTAAAAAGGACTAACCGGCTGAACAGCACATGAATCAGGCATTGGCTGCCTCAGGCATGAGAGGCTCCTGGGATGTACCTGAAGTACTGAACAGGTCACCCTGGGTAAGAATTTTCTTTAAGTCCCTTAGAGATGAATACACAATGACCAACTTGTCTGGTTAGCCTTGGACTGTCCTGCTTTTAAAACTCAAGTTCTTGCATCCTGGAAACTCCCTGGGACAGCTGGTCACCTGGTTGGCAGATTCCCAAATGGTCAGGAGAGCAGAAACCCTAGTTTCTCTGACTTTCAGAAGCCTCACTCTGATGGCTACTTTCTCCTGGTTTTCTTTTCCCACGGGACACTGTACAAGGTCTCCTTACTTCTCGGGGTCTTCTTGGAGTCAGGCCTTCAGCTGAGAGAGCTCTCAAGGGACCTTAGAACAACTCCAGCCTCTTGATTAGTGCCTTGTGTATGGTCTCCTCATTGTGGTCCCTCTTCTCCCTCCCTCCACTCTAATACACACACTCACACATACACAGTCTTACAAGCATACACATAAACACATACACAATATGCATACATATCCATGTGCACATGTCTACATACTCAAGCAAATACACACACTCACATGCACACATATACCAGCACAGCCCCATCTCACTGGCTGATTCTCCCCATGGGACTCCTCTTTAGGCCTTGAACCTCTCTTGCACGTTGGGGCCCAGGAGCTGCAAGCCCCCTTCCTCCATGAAGATTGAGAAGCTCTTCAGAGGCAGGAGCTCTGCCCTCTCCATGTCCCTAGAAGCCTAGCAGAGCACCCAACATAGACTCTAAGTTCAGTACATATCCGCATAATTGAACAAACCATCCTCTAAGTCACTGGCTCTTCCCTCACTGTTTTTTCAGAGACCACTACCCCCTTCCAGCACATGTTGTTGGAGGAGTGTTTTCTGCCTACACACACACACACACACACACACACACACACACACACCCCTTCTACCCTCCTTTCTCACCTTGGCCCTATCCCCAGGACGTCACTAGGTGGCACTATATGGCAATCCAAGGGCCTGAATGGTGCTAGCTCCTTAATCAGTAGCCTGCAGACTAAGGGTCCCCAGGTGGAGCCTGAGCGGTGTGTGACACATACTTCTCCATCAGCACAGCCCCACACATGTGCCTTGTGAAGATAATGTGGAATATGACACAGAGATGCCAAAAGCCACCAGGAGAGGGAAAAGAAGAAAATCATCAGTGTGCCATTTTGAAATTAAGGCTCTGCAAGTAACCTAATCCATTAGATCACTTGGACAAAACAGACACCTTGAAACATAACCAGTTCATTATTTGTTAAGTAAGTAAGGGCAGTGTTTTTCTGGAGCAATGTGTAATTTTGAGAAAAATGAGTGGTTTACCTATGATCACATGGATTCCTCCATTTCTTCAGGGGTGAAGTTTTCATTGTTGCATGTGTTTACTTGTAAAATAAATAACTGCAATATTTTAGACTACTTTTTAAATAAGGCAGTCAGTCTTAACCACTTTCATCTGTTCATATGATGCATACATACTGCAGGGATCATGGTCAGTAAGGTTGTTAAAAACAAGTGTTCTGCTTACCGTGCCAGCCACCACTGCTGTGTAAACTGTGAGCGGAAGAAGCAACACATTAAATTAGCTGATGAAGCTAACTTGGAATGTGCCGTGATCCTCACTGTAGACAGATAAAGCACAAAAAAGTACGAAAACTTAGAAATGCAAAAAGTTCATAAGGCCCGTCCATGGAAAAAAATGCCAGCTACAGCTGCAGAAGGAGAGACAAGGAATGAGGGGAACTCAGGAAACAGAGAGTCAATGAAATAGGGCGATTTGGAAAGCAGAAATGCTAGCGAGCGATTTATGGGGTGAGACCGGATGGATGTGCAATGCGATATGACAGCTAAATATGCAAGTGAGAGTTCGACCCTCAAAGCCCAAACACCTCGCCCTGTAGCCCCTGGCATCTGGTGAACAGACTGCAACTGTTTATTGAGCATCTACTTTGTGGCCCGTACTTAGCACATGCTAATGTCATCCTCCAAAATCCTTGCAAGATGGGTACTGGGGTCCCTCTATCCAGCAAGGAAACTGAAGTTCAGAGAGGTTAAATAGCTTGCCAGGATCATAGAGTCAGAAAGCAGTAAATTAGAATTTAATCTCAAAGTCAAACCAATTCCCAATCTCATCTCTATATTTTATACTCTGCTGGTAAAGACACAGTGGAGAGGAGAGCACCTCACTGTCCAGTTCTGACAGACAGAATCGCTGCATTGACCTCCCGCTGTTTGATGGTGTAAGGACACAAAGACCAGGAGACAGACCTGAGTTCCAGTCTTTGCACCAACTCCTCCTAGTTGTGTGGCTTTAAGAGGGTCACCTCTCCTTTCTGTGAGGAAAATAGTGTTGTCCATACTGAGATTTGTGACAACTGAATGAGCACAATACTTGGCTCTGGTGAATTGTCTCACTCTTTAAATATATGGCACTGCTACTAGTCTTGTAAGCCACCCTAGCAACTGCTGGTAGTTTTATGTTTTAAATTCACTAAACCAGCATAACCATGCAATTCTACCTCCTACATTTGTAATATGCATAATATTAAACAGGCCTTAGCAGGAAGATGATTGGAATATCAGGAATTAGTCTTTGGACTGTAATGAATGCTTGGGTTGTGTTCAATGAGCTGCAACTTCCTCAGAATTCACAAAAGCTTCTCAAAGTGTTGTTTTCCAAGAAATAAGCATCTGTAGCCTAAGAAATTTATTAGTTTATTTTTGCTGAATTGGAGATTGAACAGAGGGCATTCACACTGAGCTCATCCCAGACCTTTTTTATTTTTTATTTTGAGACAGCATCTCATTAAGTTATAAATTAACACAGGCTGGGCTCAAATTTGTGATCTTCCTTGCCTCAGTCTACCAGGTACAGGGATTATAGGTATGCACCACCATGGCCAGCCAATCCAAGAAAATTTACTTTTTTTTTTCAGCTTTAATTGAGTTTATTGGTATATTTTAGGGATACAGTACAGTTACATTCATTGTTGGGATCGGGATCTTGTACCTCTACATGACAAGTCTTGGTTCTCATTTTTTCCCCTTGTCCCTGCCCTCCCTTCACCCCCTCCTCCCCTCCCCATCTACAACCACTTTATTTCCATCTTTTCATTCTCTCACATTTTTTCTTTTCCCTTTTTACCCTTCCCCTGCCCATCCTACCTTCCCTACTCCTTTAGCTCCTTTCTTCCCATTTCTCAATGTCAGTAAGGAAAATTTACTTTTAAAGGTACCAGGGAAGGACAGTTCTGGAACCCATTTGTCTTAGCTACTTTTCTCATTGCTGAGACAAAATATCCACACCCAAAGTTAAACGAGGAAGGGTTTATTTAGTTCCGAGTTTGTAGATGCTTCAGTCTATAATTGGCTGGCTGCAAGGCAGGGTGGCATCGCAGAGGAGAAACAGTTTATGGCAAGCAGAAGGTAGCAAAACAGGGATGATCATAGCTCTTTCTGTCTCTTAAATCTTATCCAGGCTGCTTAGGGCAGGTAGCACTCACACCCTTAATCCCAGTGCCCCTAAGCCTAGCACTGCACCATGAATCGATCTCAGGGTCACATACTCTACATCTAGTCACTTCTGAAAAAGCCTCACTTATGATTTCATGAGGCTTTTCTAGCTACAAGCCGCCACACCATCTCTGATGAAGAATGGTTAAGGGAAAGGAAAGCCTGCAAGGCCTAAATAGGAAGAACATTGGTGCCACCTTCAAATGGTTGAATAAGTGGAGGGAGCGTGGGGACAGCAGTGAGAGACCCATCTGGGCTTCAGGTGCCAGTAAAACGAGGTGAGTGGAGAAATACCATGTTTTCCAAGAAGACTTCTCCCACATCAGCTGGGAGTCTCGATTCAATTCGGTTCCAACTCTCATACCTGAAGTTAGAGCAGGTCAGGGGCACAGGCCTGGGAGACTGCTCCTTTAGACACCAAATACGGCATATGTCTGATTTGGACACAAAAATCAGGAGTACTCACGACCTCACTTCAGGTTTAATAACAGTAGAATACATCATGGGACTCGAAAGTTCTATGCTTATGATTATAGTTTTATTACAAAGGTGCAGTTTGGAAACAGACAAATAGCAGAGACACAGACTGCCAAGTATGGAAGTGAAGGGCACAGAGTTTCCATTGCCTGGAAGCTGACTGAACAGTGTTGCTCTGAAGTTCATATGGGTGTCACTGTAGGCACCAGTGATTACATCATTGGTCACATGACTGAACTGAGTCTCCAGTTCCTTAACCCTCCCTACTGGTTGGGGGACAAAGATGAAACTTCTAACCTTTTAATCAGGAGGTTTGTTCCGGGATAACCAGGTCCCACCCTAACGCTTAGCATAAATTCTCCTAAGGGAGAAAAAGGCTCATTGTAAAATAACAAAAGACACTCCCGTCACTCAGGAAATTCCAGGGGTTTTAGAGGCTCTATGATAGGAACCTGGGACAAAGACCAAATATATATTTTATTATACCACAGACACACTTTAACATCCCTTATGTCTCTAACAGGTTGTATTTAGTGGTTCTAAAACCAATTATGAGATAAAATTCAGCTCAGTGTAGGAAAATACCTTCTTAACCAGAGCTCTTCTGCATTTTAAGAGGCTGCCACCAAGGAGTTGAGCTCCCTGGACTGGGAAGTGGTTCAGCTGAGGTTGGATGAGCCCAGTCAGGGATGTTGAGAAGGAAATCTCCATCCACACTGGGTGGCAATTTGTACCAAACACCCTCACACCACCATCTTGGCGACATGGTATAATGTCACTGTCTTCCTTGATTTCAGAGTCGAGAGATGCTTCCATTTTGGATGAATACTACTGGCAAGAGAGAAGGCTGGCAGCGTGGATGGCATGGATATGACAATGAGCTCATGGATATGAGGGGCATCTTCCTGGCCTTTGGACCTGGTAGGGAAGCAAGTGACCAAATGCCCTTAGTCATTCCCAAGGAAGCATCTCTAATAGGGACTAATCGCCCTAGTAAAGGCCAGAATGATTTCTTTATAGATTCTCTTTATGAGCCAAGCTGAAAAAATCCAGCCGCTCTCCATGAAACATCTTTTGCTGGCTTCCTTTCAAATGCTTCTTGGGTTTGGCAATTGTGGCCAAATACTTTTCCTTGTAAATTTTAAATCCTGAGTGCAGTGAAGAAAATGTATTCCACATGTTTGTGATTCATTTCTTACTTAATTCATCAAAACGTCATTTCACAGCTATCTGATGTCCAGGAAAACTTATCAGACACCATGTCCATGTTGATGACAGCGGTGAGTCTCACAGTTGACATGATGGCTGCAAGGGATCTGACTCTGGTACAGTTTCTCCCCGTTTAGAGCACCCGTCCCTGGGGGTTTCATTTGGTTTAGAGCCCAACCAGAAGCTAGGATGTGCTCGAGGGCAGGCTCTGAAAATGACCTTGAGATTGACTTTGAGAATGAGCCAGAATGACTAGGGATATCTTGGATAAAAGCAACGTTTCATGGCCTTACTTGATCAGATTATATCCCAAAGGGCTGGGAGAAAGGGGAGACAGAGTCTATCTGATCATTTGACTTAACTGATAGGGCACTAAAAATCATAGTAGAGTTTACTAAATATAGATCCTACTACCACTGGAATACCCCCATTCTTTGCAGCAAAAAGGGGGTTCAATAATCATAAAGCATCAGTTAACTAGTTCTTCATTCTTAGCCCATCTTCTTTTATTAAATATAATTATCCAGATTTCTATATTACAGATGCTTTCTTTTGGATCTTGATAACAATGTTCCAAGAAAGTCCATGATTTCCTTTCAAAGTATAGGTTAGGCATCCACCCATAGACTCTGCTGTTCTTTTCAGTGGAATAAGACCAAAGACATGTCAACTCACCCATCTCATTCTGTCTGCCTTGGTTCACTCTACTTACCACAAAATTAGCTATTAAGAACCATGAGGTATCAGTTTGTACAACCTCCATAGATATTTTGGGGAGTCTATGACACATTGGTCCAAATCCTTTCCCACATGTGATCCAAGTTCCCAAGTCCTAAAGTGAGAATCAGAACCAGTAGCAGCAAATATTTATGGCACACTGACTGGGTTCCTGGAATTGGCCTAAGAGGATGTCTGAGCTTGTTGCCATTGACCTAGGAAAGTTGTCATGTGCTTCATGTCAGCCAAGCCTCAAATCGGCATGCAGAACTCCAAAGCTGGAGAAATTGGGAATGGAGTCTTGAAGACTATGTCAAAGTCATCTAGAGATTAGGTGGAAGACATTCCAGAGTCACAGAATGGGAGAATGTCACCAAGCAGAGCTTTCAGTCAAAATCATCACCTCCTGTTTCCCCAGAAAAGTAAGATCATGAATGTAAAATAGTTTTTTATTGAAGCTGTGTATGTGAGCAGGAGAGTCTCTGGCGTATTTTATAGCACGTCCAAATCTAGCCCCAGACTGAAACTTCTGAGCAAAGTACTCAAGCTGTATTAACTTGGAGTTAAATTCAGTGGGGACATTTTGTCCATTGTCAGAGGGCTCCGTCATATGCTCCTTTAACACTAAAAGCCCTCAGTCCTTTAAATACAGAAAGGAGGCCCCTGAGGAAAATGGTCTGGGCTAATTACAAAATGCTTCCAGGCAGATACAGCCTTGAGAGCCTCACACAAACCATCACGTTCCTGCCTCCAATTCTCATGAAAGATTAAACAGCTTTACACAGTGTTTACTCAGAAGAAAATTTAAGAGCAAGGCCTTTAATAGCTATCTCGCTGCACTTGGAGATAAAGGTGAGCCCTCCTGATTAATTGTCTGTGGTTCTTGCTTAGGGAGGAAACTGGGCACCGTTGCAGCTGCCCAGATACCAGCCTTGGAAGTCAGTAAGTCTGGGCTGGCAAGGAGAAAGGGAAATAATTCTGAAGATAGCCTCTCTCTGGTTAATCCTAGTTTCTAATTTGAACAACCTAATCTTGCCCCAGAGAACTCCACAGCGAGATAAGACAGCAGGAGTGTGATTCATTGAGCTGCTGCGAGAGAGCTAGCCTCGCTGAGAGCAGCCCAAGACAGCTAGGCACAGCGAGAACTTCACTGTTTAGGAGACCCACGCTTAACATCCCCAAAAATTTAGACCCATGAGAATATTCCATAGGATTCCTAGTCTAGGTTCAAAATGCTATCTTGGACTATAGAGTTTTATGGGGTCCTCCTAAGTTGAACTAAGCATTGTCAGTTCAGGAATTATTTAGAAGCTTTCATTCCAACCTGGATCATCTCGGTGACAGACCAAAGTCCCATCCTGAGAAGTCATGAATTAGACTGGAGGGGAAAAAAACATTCTCCTTTCTTCTTAGGTGCATAAGATTTGATTTTGTACTTTCAAGGCAAAAAAATAGAATCTCTCCTAATGCTTTTGTCAAAAGAGCCCGATCTCAATTTCTCCTGCGAAGTGTTAAATACAGTGTTCTGTTCTTTTCTGTTTTGTCTTGTTTGAAAGGCTAGATAAGGACATCTCACATGCCCTCTCACCCATACACACGACAAGGGCATGGTCACATGTGATGGGCTGTGTGACTGTCACATCCAGGTCACATGGCAATTCAGAAGGAGAGGGAAGAGCTGCTCCCACAACACTGAGACAAACTTTCCATTGATTTCTCATGCTGCAGCAGATTCTTCTGGTGGCGAAGTGTAAACCTCCATCCTCATCTAATTGCATAACTTGCTTGATGTGGAAGAGGGGCTGACACTGAAGCAGCCCCTGCATTTTCCCCTCCGGGCAGGTTTGAGAGTTTTTAAACTAGTTTGTGCTTTCAAGCGAGTCTGACCCTTATCTTTCCTTGTCCCAAAAAAAAAGATGAATTTCCTAAATAATCTATAAGCTGAAGCTTTTCAATCCAAAGTTTGTCTTAGCTGGTTTTAATTATATATTAATAATAATAATGATTGTCACTTCTTGAGCATAGCAAGTGTGTCTGGAGCTATGACTTAAGTACCATTACTACTGCCCATTTCCTGTAGAGCCTCTTTACAACTGAATTCAACTTTTAATTTTCCAAAGTGAGCAAAACCCATCACTTGGGAAGTTATCTTGGATGAAAAATGCTATGCGACAGAGGTTTCTGTATATAGCATTTTTGCATATTTTAATTCCAGAAGCAGAATTTGATGCTGTTATTTTTTGGAATATATTGTTGTTATTGTTAGGTTTTTAAATAAAGTATGTGTGATTATTTTTGAAAAGTAATTATATAGATTATTTTCTAAGATAGAAAACTTGGCTTTGCAACTACAAACTACCCATTCCCTTTAAAGGTCTTTAAACACACAAATCTTTATTAATAGATGCAAATCTACCCCTTACATATTTTGTTGGACGTTTTTGTTTGGGGCCTAAAAGCAAAGTTGTTTTTGCATTTTTCTCTATTATTATAGTCACTCTTTAAATGGACAAGTGCTTTGTACTCAGCATCTTATTTCCTCTTATGGAGGAAGATTCACTTGGTTAAAACACTTTCAATGGCTTCCAGAGTCACTTCAGTGTCCCATGGTGATTGTGCTATGATGGCCAGCTGTACCCTCTGTATTCCTTGTACCCTTTGTGTTAGTGCTTGAGTTTAGGCAGGCTTGGAGTAGAGGCCCAATGCTCTTCTTTAGATCTAATGGAGCCTTCCCTTACTCCAATACCAGTTTTCTAATTTTCCTTCTAAGTCATCTTATCTGTCCCCAAAAGACTCCTAAGAAGTGTTCAAGTGATCTTCCAAACATATTTCAAAAACCACTGTCACTGCTGGTGAGCAGTCAGCACCAAGGATATTACACAGCTCCACTGAGAGTGCCCTCAATGTGGCAGGAAAATGGAGAAACATTCTAGAGTTGCCATAGGTCCTCTTCAACAGAAATCAGCATCTGGCTGTCAGTCCTAGGTACACAGATGATCCAGATGATTGTGCCACTTCAGGAGGGCCCAGAAAGACAGCCCATCTTCTCTGACCACACTGGCCCTTCAGTGCTCTGCAGAAATGGAACAGTTTTAGCTTGTCTTTCTGTCCCAGAAGAAATGCTATGTTGTCACAAGGGAGTCCAATTAGGCACAAAGAAAGTTTATCTGCTGGCTTGTCTTATAAAGATACTCATCTCCAGATGAGTCATGCCCACAGAAACAGCTGATCAATACAGCTGATTCTTTTTATCCCAAAGGTGCCTGGAGCCGAGTGTAATTCCTCCACATTATGATTCAACCCCTCTGTACCTGGTGATCAACTGTGACAGCTTCTTTTGTTTGCCCTTACCTTTCAGATTTCAAATCCAACTTCAGAGCTGCTCCAATTAGATCTGTGGATGTCTACAACGTCATGTGCAATGTGGCAGGCATCATCCCACTACCCAACAATGGGTCCTGGTCCCGGGTGTTATGCATGCTGAGGAGCCAGGCCAGCTCGGCTCCTTCTGTCCACAGGCACAACTACGGACTGGCCTTGATTCTCCTCTTACTGTTTGCATAAATGATCACATATTTTGCTTGTTCCAAAACATTGTCAGCAAAATGTTCTTCCAAAGTGGAATGATTTTCATTTTCTATGTGAATAATAGCTTCATTAACACAATCAAGGCCATATAATCTGTATATATATTATCCTTGGATGATTCTATACGTAAAAGTCCCTAATTGTTTCTTTTTTAAAAGACCCAACTTTATTCTTCCTGAAAACAGGAAAAGCTTAGTTTTTCATTCATCCATCTATCCATAGTGCTCTCCTTTCTTTTCATATAATTGTGCCAGATGAGCTGTCTGAGCAGTGGCCTGCCGCCACAGGAACCAAACTTCACAGTGATAGTCAATGGTCATCCTTCTCTGTCTGTTCTTATCCAAAGTAGCCCCTCAAACCATGCCTTTGCCTGCCCTCTCCACACCCAAGAGTCATCTCTAGCTGTCTGTGGTCATAATCCTGTACTGTTCCTTTCTTTCTGGAAGAGACATCTACAGGAAAGCAATAGCTGCTGTCTACTTCTACCCCTGCTCATGGAGTTTTTGCATCTTATACAAAGTCCCAGGGATCACCAAACAACCAACTTAAAAAGTCATAAGATAGGAGAACTCATAGAACAAGGTAGAAGACATTGGTCTCGCTGGCCTTGAAAACAGAAAAGCTAAGAATGGATATGGGCCTCTGTGAGACTTATTATACACAGCATATCATGGTATGAAGCCTACAAATAATAGGCCTTGAATATTATTAATAGAGTGATAGTCAGATTGCTCCCTGGCTGCCTATATGGAGGCTTCCTTAGACATTGCCACTCTGGCTCCGGATTTGGAGTGCAGACCACACTAATACCTGGCATGTCAACATGGACATCTTAGCATTGAGGATATGGACATAACACAGAAATACTAGTTCTTTGCTTGGACAGATAATATATTAAACATAAGTTTTATGGATCAGCAGCTCTGAATTAGGGCTTACCTAATGGCCCCAAAGGGAATCCTTGCGTGACATGGAATTCTATAAAAAATGGTGGGAGAGGAGAGGAAGGGGATGGAGAGAGCACGATGGAAGCAAATCCCATTGACAGAGCCCAATTCACTGTTGGGTCAGGAAACAAATGTCAAAGTGTGGTCCGTGTGCCAATAAGACCCCCGAGAAGAGGCACTGAGCCTCAGTTGATACAGTTTTTGTTTAGTCACCTAAATTTGCTATCAGAGATCTTGTAAAACAAGGTTTTAAGATTATTAGAGTCTTACCTATGCATAAAAAGTCCCTGACATGTGATGGTTTAACTTATGGTTGGATTTCACGATGGTGCAAAGGCAGTGCCCATCCAGTAGAAATCATCCTTTCAGTTTTGAACTTGCATCTTTTCTCAAGCTAGATATATACAGTTTGTCACTGTCTGTGTCCCAGAAAGCTACACAATCACAGAGGGCCAACTAATACAGTGTCCTGTATGGCTATGTGATAAGGTTTAATAGGTTTGGTGCATTGAATGCATTTTCCATTTAATGATATTTTCAACTCATGAGGGGTTTATTGAGAATGCATCATTAGTCATGGAGCACCTGTACATAAATCTTATTGTATTCAAAATGACCCTACCCATTTCCAAATTACACTTTGTCAGGAAAAGAGGACACGTGAGTCCCCTGAAGGATTAGGAAGCCCTTACATGGTGCTCATCTTGAAAAGTGAATATCAACATTCATCCTAACTCAGAAAGGCTAGGAGCCATCTCTGTGCCGTGAATCATGAGACCAAAGGAACCTTGCCTAAAAAATATTGAATTTATCTTCACAAAAGATTTCTAAGGATTTATGTAATATGTTTTTAAAGTTCCAGTAAACATCGAATCAATTGGAAAGGAGGAAAATCAAGTCTTTGTTGTGTGGCTGAAAACAAATTAGTACTTTCAGAATATTGGCACTAGTTCCCAGTAATGAATGTAACTGTACTGTCTACCTAGAATGTACCAATAAATTCAATTTAAAAAAAAAAGAATATTGGCACTAGTTCCCAGTAATGAATGTAACTGTACTGTCTACCTAGAATGTACCAATAAATTCAATTTAAAAAAAAAAGAATATTGGCACTAGTTTTTGAAACAGACGTCTATTGTTGGAAGTTTTCTTTCCCCTTAAGGGACATGTTTTGTTGAATTAAGTGGAGCCCACTTCCTCCTTTAGAATACAAGTATCTCTAAGACATAGCTAAGCAATTAAATTAAAGTAGATCATCAAAATCAAGAGGGGATAAACACATACACAGTTAAGTTACATAACAAAATTTCAGCTATTTGTCTGACAAAGTATAATTTCAACAGAATCATGAATACTGGTGAAAAAATTTAGACTCAATGGAAATAAAATACCTTTTTGTCTGAAATAATGCATATATTTCAACATCTTAATTGATTAAACTTTGTTGCCTTAAATTTTTGTTTTACAATTGCATTATTTCCCTAGGAAAATTGCATTTGGCCTGAATGATGTGTTTAGTTGCATAGCAGTAAAATCTGCCAGGAATAAATAAACATATATATATTTATATACCATATATATATATATACCTTTCTCCTGGATTATTTTATAACATCACTACTAATTCCAGGAGGAAGATAATTGGGTGGACTTACCAATAAGAAATGGAATGAATGATCCAAGTTGAAGGTCTACTTTCTCTGCCCTTGGAACCTAAATTTCCAGAATCCAATTTAAATAAATTCTGTAAACTAGATCATGTTAAGGACTTTTTCCTGACCCAGAAGAGTCCTGCATTTTAAAACCCTAACTCTCTTTGCTTTTAAAAGGATCTTAGAAATTCATGTCAGACCTGAGTTCAATGATAGACAGTAGTTTGCAAACTTTCTGGGCTTACAAGTATTGCCTGGCTACCTCCAGAGTCGCAGATTCACAGGATCTGTGGTAGGACCTCAGACAACCCTTTAAGGCACATTGATCTGAGCTTTAGGTTTGTTTTAAGGAGAGGTGGGTTCTGACTTGATTTGGGAAAACTAAGTCCCCTAGGAGCTGGTTCCTAAACAGTCAGCATCTCCAGGGGCAGTGGGGGTGACATCGGCTATGAACCCCATTCGGATAGTCTTCCAGTCTTCAAAGTCAAAGCAGATCTGTAAGCCTTGCTGGTGGAGGGAGCCATGATGAAGGGTCAAAGTGGCTTGTCCACAGCCCACACCTGCTAATTCCAGGAGGATCACTGGGTGGACTTACCCATAAGAAATGGAAGAATGATCCTTGAGTTAAAGATGAGTTGAAGGTCTAAGATTCTCAAAGGTGCTATCACTCAAACTTAGACATTTGTTCAAGCCACACAGCTAGTTTTGAAATTTCTAATACAGTGTTTGAATTTCTATAAATATCGAGAGATTTTCAAATGTCATTGCATGTTTTATCTTTTTAAGCAATTTGTAATAGACCAAAGTCAGCTACTGTAAGCTACTTGCTAGAAGAAAAAGAGAAGGTAACTTTGACAGATTGGTTGTAAAACATTTGAAACTTGGTCGTAGGTATATACTATGTTGCTTTGAAATCATAAAAAAGTACCTAATACAGTGCTTTAAATGTTTAATAAATGTTCGGTAAATATGTGTGGAAAGAAATAAAGAATGAATGTCTTTAGAGATACTTGCTTAAACTTCAGTTGTTCTTCTTTGTCTGTAGTTGCTCTAATTAAATGACTTCCACTTTGAGCCTACTATCTTTTCTTATTACTTAACTGACAATATAATTATACCTTAATTCATGTACTAAACATATTCTGTCTCAGGCTTATAAATTACCCTGAAGGAGATAAGAGAGGAGAGAAGGAGGGAAGAATGGAGGACAGAAGGGAGACAGGAAGGTTTTATTTCAAATACATGAAGCATATCATCTTATACAAATATATTAGCCTTATCAAGATGAATTCACATACCATATAATTCATTCAACATGTACAATTCAGTGTTTTTTGTATATGCTCTGAGCTGGGCAACCATCATACAACTGTATTAGAATCTTCTTATTACCCCAACTCCATACCCATTAGTACATGAGCAGTCACTCTACGGACCCTTCCTAGGCAACCACCAAAGTACTTTATCAACAGATTAGCTTCTCCTCCTCCTTCTCCTTCCTATTTTTTTTTTTTGTACCAGGGATCAAACTCAGGACCTGCTTGTGAGGCAGGCGCAGTGCCACTGAGCGAAATCCCTGACCCTAGCCTTTTCTTGATATTTCATAAAACTATAATGTTCTTTGTGGATGGCTTTTTTCATTTACGTAAGGTTTTTGAAGTTATAGCATGAATTAGTGTGTAATTCCTTTTTAAAGATAAATGTGGCCTCATAGTACAGATATACTACATTTCATTTATCCATGCATCCATTCATTGATGAACATTTTTGTTTTCTTAATTTCTTAGATAAGTAACATTGCTCTGAAGATGTGTGTAAATATGCTCTCATTTCTTCTGGGAATGTACTTAGTAGTAGAACTGCAGTCTCACAGGGTGACATGTTACATTTTTTACTTTTTTTTAATGGATAAGTAGTACAGCATTTTATAAAAAAAACCACATCTTCTTTATCCAGTCTCCAGTTGATGGGCAATTGGGCTGTTTCCAAGTTTTATCTATTACTAACTCTGCCACTATAAACATGGGTGAGCATATATCATTCTGGTGTGATTCTTTTAATTCTTTTGGAAGATACCCAGCAGAGGAAGAGCTGGGTCAAATGGGACTTCCAATCCTAGTTGTTTAAGGTATCTCCATATCCATTTCCACAGTGGTTGCGCCAGTCTGCACTCCCACCAACAATGAAAAAGGGTTCCTTTCTCCCCACACCCCCACCAGCATTTCTTATTTGTTGATTTCTTGATAGAAGCTGTTCTTTCTGGGGTAAAGTGGAATCTCAGTGTTGTTTTCATCTGCATCTCTTGAATGAACAGTGATGTGGAACATTTTGTCATATATTTATTTGCTGCTTTTACTTCTTTGTCTGAGAAATGTCTGTTCATTTCAGATGCCCATCTTCAAATTGGGTCTTTATATTTGGGGGCCTGATTTTTTTTTTAGTTCTTTATGTATTCTAGATAGTAGACCTTTGTCTGAAGAAGATCTTGCAAAAAAAGTTTCCAAAATTGTAGGTTGTCTCTTAGCTCTGCTTGTGATTTCTCTTGCAGTGCAGAGGCTTTTTAAAAAGATGAGATCCCAGTTGCTGATTCTTTGTGCTAGTTCCCGTGCTACTGAGGATTTGTTTATAAAATCTTTTCCTATACCAGTGTCTTCATTCAGCCTAAGTTATCTTCCAAATTTAGTGTTTCAGTTTTAATATTTAGATATTTAATCCACTTTGATTTTAGTTTAGTGCATGGTGAAAAATATGGGGTCTAGTTTTAATCTTTGGCAGGTTGAAATCCACTTTTTCCAACACCTTTTATTAAAGAGACTGTCTTTCCTCCAGTGAGGATGGTTGGTTCCTCTGTCAAAGATGAGGCAGCTGAGTGTGTCTGAAGTTGTTTGTGCATCTCTAATCTATTCCACTGATCCTCAGTTCTGTTTCTTTGCCAGTACCATGCTGTTTTTAGCACAGTGGCTTTGTAAGGGATTGTAATACCTATTTCCATGTCTCTTTTGCCTAGAATGGCTTTTGCTATTCTAGGTCTCTTCTGGCTCCAAATTAATTTTTGGATTGTTTTCTCTAGTTCTATGAAATATGCTGTTGAGTGTTCAATAGGGATTGCATTGAATCTTTATAGCAGTTTTGGAAGTATGGCCCTTTTCATTATATTGGTTCTTCCTACCCAGGAACAAGGGTTATCTTTCCATTTTCTTATATCTTCTCTGATCTCTTTTTTCAGAGTGTTGTAGTTCTCAAGGTAGAGGTCATTTGTGTCCTTTGTTAGATTGATTCTTAGATACTTCATTTTTTGGATGCTACTGTGAAAGAGATTGTTTCCCTAATTTCTCTCTCAATTAGTTTTATTTGTGTACAAGAAAGCTATTGATTTTTCAGAGATTACTTCTTTTTTAGTAAGTTTATTGGTACTTTTTTTTTTTGGTACCGGTGATGGAACTCATGTCCTTGTGCTTGCGGGGCAGGCAGCGAACCACTGAGCTAAATCCTGGGCCCCAAGGCCTATTGACTTTTGAGTGTTTACCTTGTATCCAGCTACTCTACTGAATCTGTCAATTAAGTCTAGAAGTCTTTTGGCAGAGTTTTTGGGTCTTCTATGTAGAGTATCATATCATCAGCAAATAATGACAGTTTAACTTCTTCCTTTCCTATATTTATTGCTTTTCTTTGTTTCTCTTGTCTAATTGCTGTGGCTAATGCTTCCAAAACTATATTGAACAGGAGTGGTGATAGTGGACATCCTAGTCTTGTTCCTGATTTTAGCATGAAGGTTTTCAGTGTTTGACCATTTAGTATGATGTTGGCTGTTGGTTTTTTCATAGGTAGCCCTTACCAAGTTGAGATAAAGACCATCTGTTTCAATTTTCTGCAGGGTTTTCCCCCACTTTTATCTGGTCCTCAATTTCATTCCAACTCCACATCTGAAAGTCCTTTACCATTTTAATCTCATATTCAGCTTTCTCCTCTAATCCCATTTTTCTTAATATCTTCACTTTTATTTCCCTTGAATATTGAGAAATGTACCTTACAATTATCTTGATTCCTATTTCCTTATATTCATACGAATTTTGCTTTGCATTCCAAATACTTTTTCTGCTCTGTAACATTAGGTTACAATTTCCTCAGAAACAGAAAGCTTTCTCCCTTTCCTTTCCTTTCTTATTTTTCCTTCCTTACCTTTCCTCTCCTTTCCTTTCCTCTTCCTTCCTTCTTTTTCCCTTTCTTTCTCTCTGCTCTCTGTCCTTTTTTCTTTGGTCCCCAGGGATCAAACTCAGATCCTTGTGCTTGCGAATCAGGTGCTGGAACCACTGAGCTAAATCCCCGGCCCCTCTGTCCCTTTTT